GGTGTTGTTGTTGCTGTTGTTGTTGCTGTTGCTGTTGTTGCTGTTGTTGTTGTTGGTGTTGTTGTTGTTGTTGTTGTTGTTGTTGTTGTTGTTGTTGTTGTTGTTGTTGTTGTTGTTGTTGTTGTTAGTATTGTTGTTGCTATTGTTGTTAGTGTTGTTGTTGTTGTTGTTGTTGTTGCTGTTGCTGTTGCTGTTGCTGTTGCTGTTGTTGTTGTTGTTGTTGCTGTTGTTGTTCATACCCGTACCCTTTTCTGGTTTCCCCCTTCCACCGCCGCGACCGCTGGCTTCGCCTCGAAATTCCCGTCAGAGCGCACCCCAGGAGAGGGTCGCGGGGGCAGCGTTTCCCCAGATCCGGGCCAGGGTGCCCCAGCCTGCCCCAAGACGGCTCTGCTATTGGGCACGACGACGACGATGACGACGACGACGACGACGGCGAGGCACCTGGCCAGAACTCGCGGAGGCAGGCGGACAGACACCCCACCTTGACGCGACGTTCAGTGAATTGTCCGTTCTCGGTTCTCGAGAGGGCGCAGCGGCCGTCATTTTTCGCGTTTGCGCCCGCTGGGTTTGGGCCCAGGGTCGTTCTCAGTAAATCTCGTTTGGCTACCGGAGACTATATTATGTCCATCCACGGTATAGATGTGTCGCCGATTCTGGGTCCCCGTACCCTTGCCCCCCGTCCCTCACATCAGGGGTCGCGTAACAACGGGGCCAAGCGCCGACGGGGTCAGCCAGTCCCGTCTGGCCTCTGCCTGACCCGGGCATGGGAGGTCCAGGTGGGGCTGGTGCCCTTGTCGTTCCAACGCTGATCCGGGTCTGGGAGCTACTTCGTGGCTGGCCTGGGTGTGCGACACCGCCCAGGCTGGCTGAGGTGAGCGCTGATCCGGGTTAGCGGGTCCTTGACGGTGATCGGGGTTTAAAGACGGGATCTAGAGGGATGGGGCCTTGACGGTGATCGGGTCCTAGACGGTGATAGGATGAGGACGAGTCGCCCCAGAGCGTTGAGGAGGATCTTCCCGAAGAGCGTGGAATCCAACGCGGCAAAACAGAAACTTGCGGATGCTCGTTCTGGAAGGCTGCCGAGGGCGCTTGTTGGTGGCCTCCTCGGCGGCAGGGGAGGGGCCGGGGATAGCGTCGAGAGTCGGTCGAGGGCCGATGATGAAGCACAGTCGTGGCTTGCTTCGGGGCCTTCAGAGGCTTCCTGAGGGGTCTGGGAGCTCTCTGGAGACATCACATCCGGGGGCCAGGGTAGTCGTTTGCTCTCTGGCGGGGGGCCAAGGGAGGACGGGGGGGCGTGGCGGTCGAGGGACGGAGAGGACGAGGAGGGCCGGCTGCCGTCCCAAGTTCCTTTCTCGTGAAGTCTGTGCAAGTTGCTCGCTTCCATACAAGAATCGCCCCCTTCAAGACCCGCGCCCTGTGGGCCTGGCTTCCAGGCGAGACCCTCGCTCTGAAGAGGAACCTCCCCGCGTCCTTGCAGCGCGTAGCCAGGAATGCGACACAGTGTATGAACAGACAGTGCAACTTAGTACTCGGCGGGAGTCCCGCTTTGAAAAGAACCTCATCTATCCGAGTATCGGGTGCACACGTTTACATTACTGGCGATGATCTGTGAGGAAGCCTCCAGCGAGGGCCCCGCAAGAAAACGGAGCCGACCTCCAATGCTTCCTCGCTAATCTGTCAAGACGTCTGGGTGCGGCACTGAGACAATGTTCACATATTGGGACGAGCAGTGCTCCATCCTCGCAGCTGCTGCAAGCTGTTCAATACGAATGTGCGCGGCGCTCCGGCGAGGGACTCATTTCGACAACGACCTGTGCTCCATCCTTGAAGTGCTTTGCGAGCTCCAAGCTATAGGATGGTAATCGGTGAGGGAGTCTCCTGCGAAACGCCCGATTTGGCCTACCGACACGTTCAGGGATTATATATATATGTGTATACATGCATATACATATACCTACATATAAATAAGGGACAGGGGTGGAGAAGGGGGGGAGAAAGAAGATTGAAGAGTGGAGGGACGGGGAACATGCGGATAGATAGGACGACGGGGGCGAGGGAGGATGGAGGGGGAAGAGAGGGGGGGTCAGCAAGACTTGCTCCCCCTTCCCCCCCCGAAACTCCCCCAGAGCAGCATCGGGAACCTCCGAGACACACCAGCCCCTCCGAAGGGACGACCGGGGCGGCGGCGTCGATGAGCCTTCGAAGAGCCCGCAGGGCGAGCACGATTGTGCCCCCCACCCGCGAGAATCGAGTCTATTTCTGAAGCACCATCGTGGCCGAGGCTGAAGCAGGCCCGGACAAGTCCGTTCCTCTCCCTCCTCCTCCTCCCTCCTCCCTCCTCCCTCCTCCCTCCTCCTCCTTTCTCTCCTCCGCTCCCCCCTCTCTTCGGCGGGGGCCGAGGCTGGACGCACCGCCGTGGCCTCCCGGGGGCGAACCTGGGCGGCGGGCACGCTGACGAGGGCGGCGATGGCGGTGCGCCTCCGAACAAAACGCCCGCCAGGTGCGCTCGCTCGTTGCCGCCTACGAGCGCCGCAGCGGCAGCGCGGCCCCGCCGCATCCGGCCGGCCGGCTGGCCACCCAGTGGCGTGGCGCGCGCCGTTCGCGCGGGGAGCCGCCCTTCGGGAGGAGGGAGGGAGGGAGGGATGGAGGGCGGTCGAACAGGAGGGTGGATGACAGGAGGGAGGGTGGAGGAGGAGGAGGAGGAGGAGGGGAGGAGGAGGAGGAGGAGGAGGAGAGGAGGAGGAGGAGGAGGAGGAGGCAGGAGGAGGAGGAGAGAGAAGGAGGAGGAGGGAGGGGGACGATCGACGACGAGGCGCTCGGAGGGAGGGAGGGGGGGGAGGGCGGCGCAGGAGGACGGGGTAGCGAGGAGGGACCATCAGGGAGGACGACGGAGGAGGAGGAAGAGGAGGAAGAGGGGGAGAAGGGATGTTGCACTGACAAGTCCGCTGCTCGAAGCTCGAAGGTGGCAGAGGAAAGATAGGAGGGGGACGAGGGGATCGAGGAGTAGGCGGAGGAATGGGGAGGGACGGGGGAGGGAGGAGGAGGAGGAGGAGGAGGAGGAGGAGGAGGAGGAGGGATGAGGAGGTAGGAGGGATAGTGACGGAGGAGGAAGAGGGAGGAGAAGGGAAAAGACAGAGGATCGACGTTTCTGTTCTTTACCGGGGCCTCCTGGTGCCACCAGAGTCCAGAGCCTTCCGAAGGTCTCGAGGGACATCTGGGGAGCTGTCGCTTCCAGCCTGAACTTGGCCGCTCAGATAGACGGCGTGCCCATTGGCCAAGACGACCCACGAGCGCTCCAAGACGGCCAACACGACCCAAGACGGCTCGAAATCGGTTACAACATGACGCCAGATTATTCCAATTTGGTTTGGAGCAAGATGTTTGCTCCTCGCCGTGCTTCTCTTCTCGTCATCGTCGCCGTGCGTCTCTGTCCCACTTCTCAGTTTATAGCCTGAGGACGTCCAGCTGTCTTCTGTGTGCTCTCGACTTGCGCTGGAGATGCGTCTGGCATGATATCCCTCCCTGTGTCTTCCCCTTTCTTCCCTCTTCTCTCCTCTTCCCCATCTCCTCCTCCTCATCCTGCTGTCGCGTGGGAGATCTGCTGGGGGAGATCTGCGGCCTCTGAATGCTGGGTGCCACCAGCAGGTGGGGCTCCCCCCGAACGCTGACAGCCCACGCTGCCAGTAGGGCTGCCGCGCTCTCGTTTTTGTTTGGCCTCGTGGCTCCCTCTCCCATCGGCGGAGCCGTTCGATCATCGGGCCCCCCCTCCACCCACGCGGGCACGCACATCTCCACTGAAGGTTGGCCTCTGGGCCCTGCTCCGTCTACCTAGCCTGGCTTGTCAAGCTTCCCTCGACGAACGTTCTGACTATCGTCCAGAAGCGAGCGGCCGGTGGCCGGAGCGTGCCGCGGAACGCCAGTGCACTACGTCGGCTGGCGAGAGGTAGCCCGCCTGCACCCGAGCGGTGCGCAAGGCGGGCTGCGCCTTTGTGCGCAGCGGCGTAGCGCAGAAGCGATGACGCCCTCTCCAGACATAATATCTTGGAGCAGCAAGCGAGGCGCGTGTCCGAGGCCGCGGTCCTTGGCCAGAGACGTCCAGGATGCCCCCGAGGGCGCGCTGCCTCGTGAGGAGCACGCGATCCGCGCCCCCGGAGGCTGCGTGCCCCTCGTGAGGAAGAGGAGGATCAGCGCTCCCGAGGCCCCGGTCCTGCGTGGAAGCTCCCGGGTACTCCAGATTTCGTAATTATTCCAGTGCGACCCTACCTAGGAGTTGGAACCCCTAGGAAAGCAGCATTAGTAGTAACAGTAACGCTAAGCTAAAGCTAAGCTAAAGCTAAGCCACAGCTAAGCTAAAGTTAAGCTAAAGCTAAGCTAAAGCTAAGCTAAAGCTAAGCTAAAGCTAAGCTAAAGCTGAGCAACAGCTAAGCTAAAGCTAAGCTACAGCTAAGCTCAAGCTAAGCTAAAGCTAAGCTAAAGCTAAGCTAAACGCTAAGCGAAACGCTAAGCGAAAAGCTAAGCGAAACGCTAAGCCTAAGCTAAGCGAAACGCTAAGCCTAATCTAAGCTACAGCTAAGCTAAAGCTGAAGCTAAAGCTAAAGCTCCCAGGGGACTGGGGGGAACCGCTCCCAGGGGACTGGGGGAACCGCCCGGGGCGCTTTCCACTGCCCGGCCCCTTTAAGCTAAGAGAGTAAGAACCCTTCTAGGCAGAGCCTAGGTAGGGAATAAAAGGGAGGGGGTCTGGACCCTCCAAGACAAGCCATTTCAGACCCCCCGCCTGTGGGAGAACCCTCCAAAACATCGTCCCCAGACCCCCCCAGGCCCTCCAAGATAGCTTGGAAGAGACCCCCCCCCGAAATGAGACCCCCCTCCCTTTATTACGAAATCTGGAGTAGGATCATCGCTCCCGAGGCCCCGGTCCTGCGTAGAAGCTCCCGGGTACGTCAACGGCACCGTAACGGGTACTTTACTAACGGGTACTTTTTGCAATTTTGCCATACAAGTTGCCACTTCAGGGCCTCTTTCTGGCAACGCAGCGTTGCCCGCATCGGGAAGGGTTGGGTTCGCTGGGTCACTGGCCAAAGTACCCGTTAGTGGAGTCCCCGTTTGTGGGGCGCTGAGTACGCGCGCTCCCGAGGCGAGGAACGCTTCCCAGCGCTTGAGAGCTGCGGGGGGCGCCCGGGAGCGCCTGGGAAGCGACTAAGGGGTGGGGGGCGTGGGAGCGCCGTGGGGCGCCAGGGGAGCGCCCTTGGGGGGACTGTGAGCGCTTCCAGGCGCAGAGGAGCGCCTCGGGGGACGCCCCCGGGGGGGGTGCTTCGCGTCGGAAGGCGTTTGAAGACGATCGGGAGCGCCCGGGGACGCCTTGGCACGCTCTGGAGCGTCTGGCAGCGCTGGAGAGCGCCCAGGAAAATCCGGGAGCGCCTGGGAGGGTCCGAGGCCGCGATCATCCCCGAAATGCGCAGCACCCGCGCCCCCGAGACCACGATGTCCGAACCGCAGGAGTTCCGCTGGCACACCCCAGTGACACACCCCCCGCCGGGGACCCCAGTGGGGCAGTATTCTGACCCAGGACCTTCCCCCGCACCCAAGGAACGCGGTATTCAGACCAGGGGCCCTTCCCAGAACACCCCCCTACACCCCCTCGATCTAAGGGAAGGGCCCCCCCGTCGAGTTAACACGGCGTTCATTCTACTTGTTCGCAATATCGTTGGGATTGACGACGGCGACGACGACGACGACGTCACCCACGCGCCGAAGGATCGGCGAATTTCTTCAGGAAGTTTCATCAGCATCCAGGGAACTTCGTGGGGCCACAGGAGGAGCCCCAGGGAACACATTGTTTTTCACGTCAATCGCCTTCCACCACTCTGCAAGGTGTCCGCGCAATGGGATGTCAGCAGACTCGTCGCAGTTGCGACGCCGCCAGAAACCGCGTGGAACCGTGACTAATCATCGGCACCATGCGAAAACCTGATTGTTCTTCGGCGCCCGAGGACTGGTGAGGAGGCCCGACGGAGGAAACGATGCAGGCCCCCACCACCACCACCCCGCGCGGTGGGTGCGTAGCTGGATGCCGGCAGAAGTGATGCAGCTGCGGCGTCGCCACAGGAACCGTGTGGGACTGCAAGCATCATGCGCGCCATTGGGAAACCTGAAAGCTCGTGGGCACCCGAGGATCCTGATGCGGCCTAAGGGAGTCTGGGGAAACCCTTCCATCGCGTCATGCAGACCCCCTCCCCCGCCCCTCCGCGAGGTGATCGTGTAGTGGTATGCCGTGTTCATGTACATAGCTGGGTGCGTACGTCTTTTGTGGGCTCCCTGAGTCCCCAGCGGCCTCCCAAACACTGCCTCGAGATGCGAGCATTGCCGACAAGGCCCCGCGGCGGTTCCAGGGCGCCCCCCAGAGACAGCAAAGGAGCCCCAAGAGGCCCCAAAGGTGCCACCAGGCCCTGGACAGGGCTCATCCCGATTCCGCCGATTCGACCCGATTTCGATGGCTTCCCGTTCCGATTCGATTCGAGTTCGGATTCCGATTTGGATTCCAATCTCTCAATGAGGCATTACTAGTTTGCCGATTTCTGCCAAGTCGACTCCTCCCGATTTGGCTGTCATTTTCCGCCGATTGGACTCATTGCGATCGCCGATTCGACTTATCGACTCGATGCTGGGCTCTCCTGCCTGCAGGGTCACCCTTTGCGTCCGTCCTGCTTGGGCTCTCCACTTTTGGAGTGCTCCTCGTCCAGGGCATATCCAGGAGGCCCGTGCCCTTCGGCGGCGGGGCGCATGCTCTCGACCGACGTTCTCGTGGCCCTGCTTCGACCGTGCAAGGTGCGGGAGGACCGACATCCTCCGCCCTCCCCCCCACCCGTGGAGGAGGTGGAGGAAGAGAAGGAGGAGGAGGAGGAGGAGGAGGAGGAGGAGGAGGAGGAGGAGGACCAGTGCAAACCCAAGAGTCATCAACGATGTTGGAATTCACCCTCCCTCCAAGCTCCCTCTTCATAGGCCCCTACAACGGTTCATTTCCATTGAGGAAACTGCCTCGCTGGAAGACAACCGTTTGATGATCCTGAAGCATGTCAAAACAATGTTCTCGGGATGTCAGCGCCACGTATCAGCCTGACTGCTGCGTTTTGGCGATCCGGAATCGTGCCATAACGCCATTTTTCTGCATTCCAACACCGCGAATCAAAATAATTGTTGCACCCGCGTAATCCTGAATCCTTCCAAAACGCAATTTTTGGTACGTTGGGCATGGGAATCTGGAAACTCTTGCAAATGTTTCAGACGACTGTGCGCGGCGCTAAGGCGAGAGCCACATTTCGAAAATCTCCCGCCCTCAATCTGTGGAATTCTTGCAAATGTTTAAGTCGAATGTGCGCGGCGCTGAGGGGAGAGCTACATTTCGAAAACCCCCCGCCCTCAATCCGTGAAGCCCTGGCAAAAGTTTAAAACGAATGTGCGCGGCGCTAAGGCGAGAGCCACACTTCGAAAACGACCCGCCCTCCATCCGTGAAACACTTGCAAATGTTTACATCGAATGTGCGCGGCGCTAAGGCAAGAGCATGTGCGCGGCGCTGAAGCGAGAGCCACATTTCGAAACCACCCGCCCTCAATCCGTGAAACTCTTGCAAATGTTTAACACGAATGAGGACGGCGCTAAGGCGAGAGCCACATTTTGACAGCGGCCCGCCCTCCATATGTGAAACTGTTGCCACTGTTTAAGCTTCAGAGTCATGAGTGGTGAGGAAGTCTCAGGCGAAACGGCCGGCCCGCCCTGAAAATTGGCATCGGGGTGCGACAGGGGGGAGTTACCTATAAGGAGAAGTAGAGGAGGCGGAGGAGGAGGAGGAGGAGGTGCAGGCAAGGGAGGAGGAGGAACAGGAGGAGGAGGAGGAGGAGGAGAAAAAGGGAGGGAGGAGGGCGAAGAGCAGGGATAAAGCAAGAGGTGGGGTCACATGGAGGAGGACCCCACCCTCTCCCATCCCCCCTGGCCTCGCCCCCCTCCCCCCCCACTCCCCCCCCCTCCCTCGGGGGGAACCGATAGGGGCTGATCGGCAAGGGACGTGGATTAGGTAGCGACGGGTCCCATTTCCGTGGGAAATCACGGATTTCCGCCGCCGACCGAGGCGGCACTGGCCGCACTTTGGGGGAGGGCACTTCTCCCGATGCATGGATTTGGCGACCGCGCGCCAAATCCATGGATCGCTAATCCATGTTTGCGCGCCCCCGAACAGGGGGGGACGCATCGACCTCCAATCGCCCAATGATGGACAGCAGGGGCCCGATACCCGACAGCCCCAACCTTCCGATCTGTCCGCGATGCATCGCCGATAACAGTCAGGAGGGAAGAAAACACACAGACACAATTAATCGTCCATTCCAAGGAAGATATGGGAAACTATGGGAAGTGGGGGGGTAGACAAAAACTCAGAAGATATAGGAAAGTATGGGGGCAGGTCCAGGGGTCGATCATCGAAACGGTGCCTTGGCAATTTCGTGGGCCGTTCTCGTCTCGTCTTCGTTCTGCAGCAGGGGCGGAGTGGAGGCAGAGCGAGGGAGAACGATGACAAGACAACAGCGAGCCAATGTTTGGGGTCGAGCCCCGTCCAGGTCGATGGTTTGCCCCCCGATGCCCCCCCCCCCCAGTCCTTGCCCCTCCCCCCCGGGGCAGGCCCCCGAATAGGGGGGGACGCATCGACATCCAATCGCCCCATGACCGACAGCAGGGGCCCGATACCCGACAGCCCCAACCGTCCGATCTATCCGCGATGCATCGCCGGTAACAGTCAGGAGGGGAAAAACACACACAGACACAATTAATCGTCGATTCCCCAGAAAATATGGGAAAATATGAGCAGTGGGGGGGGAAGACAAAAACTCAGAAGATATAGGAAAATATGGGGAATCCTTTTATTTGTGTGTATTTATTTGTGTGTCCCAGTTTCCCTTCAAACAGGTCCAGGGGTCGATCGAAACGGTGCCTTGGCGATCTCGTGGGCCGCTCTCGCCTCGTCTCTCCGTTCTGCAGCAGGGGCGGAGTGGAGACAGAGCGAGGGCAAAAACGAAGACAACACAAGAGCGAGGCAATTCTTTGGGTCGAGCCCCGTCCAGGTCGATGTCTGCCCCCCGAGTCGTTGCCCCCCCCCAGTCGTTGCCCCTTCCCCCAGTCGTTGCCCAGGTCGATTTTTTGCCCCCTGCTGCCCCTCCCTCTTATCCTCCCTCCCTCCCTCCTCCCTCCCTCCTCCCTCCGCCCTCCTCCCTCCTCCCTCCTCCCTCCCCCCCCCCCGGTCCTTGCCCCTCCCCCCCCCTTGGGCAGGCCCGCGGAGGCCTCGCCGGTGCGGCAGCAGCAGCAGCGGATGCCGCCGCACTCGCGGCCGGGGCAGGCCGCCCCGCCCTCCGCGGGGGGGCGTCGCGCAGAGGGCGGGGCGCGGCAGACGACGCGAAGATCGGGACGAAATCGGATCGGGATAACTCGAAATCTCGGAGAGTCGGCGGGTCTGGAGGACGTGTTGTGCGCCGCGGCCGCTCTCAGAGCGAGCGTTCCGGGCACGCTCTGAGAGCGCCCCCTGAGAGCGCTCTGGAGCGACGTGTCCCGATCCTGGCCCTGTTCGGGTGTTGCTAGAAGTACCCCTGGCCCAACGTGCCCCCAGCTTTTCGCTTCATTGTGGAGCCCCTGGGGGCCTCTGGGCCTCGTGAGGGGTGCTTTGGAGGCCGCTTGGGCTACCCCGAGAATCCTGGGGGCACCTTGGCCCAGGGGCACTTCTAGCAACACCCGACCTGTTTTAGCGCGGGGGGGCCGGCGAGGGCTGCAGAACGGGGGGGCCCACTGGGGCCCCTGAGTGGGGCCCTGCCGGGCCCCAAGGGGGGGGGGCCCTGCAGGGCCCGAGGAGTGCACCTGTCTCCGCCCCCAGGCATCGCCCCCCCCCTTCCCCCCATCCTCCTCCTCCAACCTGCTCCTCCCCCCAGGCCACAGGCGGGGACAACCAAAGGCAGCGGCTGGAGCAGCAGGTCGTCCATCAGGCTCGCCCGGAGCTCAAAGGCAAGGAGGGTGGCATCATGGCGGCTCTGCTCACGGTCTTGTGCAGGCTTTCGCTCACGAATGCCAGAGACCTCGCGGAAATCACGGGCGCTACGTTCACCTGTTTCCTCCTACCAGCCACCGCAGGCCTCGTGGGAGTGATGAAGACAGCTGGCCAAGACTACGCGATGGACTGCAAGGAGCAGGGCAAGCAGCACGACAACGGGCCTCCATGGCCCCACATATTCATGGCGCTAGTTACCCACTTCCTGGCAACGCTGGCGGGCAGTCAAGAACCCGCGGTGAAACAGGCGCTGGCAGTACTCAAGCACTACTGGTCGCAGACGATCAAGGACGACAAAGCGGAGACCCTTCGGACACTAGCGGACCATGTGCGCTATTGTCGCATCAGGGCGTGCTGGTTCGACAAAAAGGGCGGCAAGAAGGAGGCGGACACGTACAAGTTACAGTTCATGATGAGCCCATTCATCCAGAGTCAGGTGGTCACGGTCGACGGCTCAGCACTGATGACGATCCACGCAGCATTGCACATCTGCGTCGGCCAGGAGAAAGGGAAGTTGAAGGCAGGAGCTGCTCCCAAGGGAGCGCTGGAGAGGGACGCAGAGCGCCTGCTGGCCAAGTTCGGGATGGCTCAGGAAGAGATTCAGAAGCATCTGGCAGATTAGAGGGTGACAATATTAATTCAGAGATTGGTTCAGAGATCGGTTCCTTGGTTCAGAGATTGGACCTTGCTACGGTGGCGACACCTATTGCTGCGAAGGCATCTTCCTTGGTTCAGAGATTGGATCTAGCTACGGCGGCGACACCTCCTGTTGCGACGGCATCGACGAAACCATTCACACGCAGTTCGAGGATTAGGCAGCCTGCTCGTCTGTCGTCGATTAATCAGTCAATACGAATGCTTGAACTGGCCCAAGGAGGCCACATATGACATTTCCAGTTGGCCAAGTTGCAAGAGAAATCAACGGCCCCTATTTTAGAATATGTTTCAGGGAATGTAAGATTCAAGGCTTATTACCAGGAGCCGTTAGAGTTTCAGTTGACGGTGGTTCAGGCTCTCCAGAGAGCTGCCCAGGTCAGGACTGTTTCCACTGACCTCGACTCTTCCTCGTTCTCTGCTGATGCGCGTACCTCGAGCGCGCTGCTTGCTCCTCCTCCCCCTCCACCACCACCGTCACTGAACATAGAGGTTCAGACTGAGTTTCGCACTTAACGCCACGGCCCCCTCCGCTGCCTGCTGCCCTCTCTCCCTCCTTTCCTCTCTCCCGCGGCTTCTGCTGCTGCCTGCTCTCCTCCTTCTCCTGGCCTTGTGTGTGTGTGGGTGTGTGTCTGCGTGTGCTGGCGGTGTCCTGTTCCTCCCCGCCCGTCGTTCCCCGCCGTTCCCTTGTCGTGTCGTTGCTGGGCCGTGGCCTAGGATTGAATTGGGAGAGACTTTCGACTCTCTTCTAATTGCGAGCCTGCCGCTGGGAGGATGGTGCCCACGCAGGCCGTCACGGGCCGTTCCCCTTTGGACGGTCCTGCTCTGGGCCAGAGGCTTCCCCCCAGCGAGGCTGCAGGCTATAGCCCCGTGCTATCCGCAGATCCTTTATACATATCTCGTGCTCGTTTGCTAAGCGTCGCACGACAGTGGTACTCATCAGGGTCGTAAGCGTTCCAGTCCAGTCCAGTCCTCCTCCTCCTCCTCCTCCTCCTCCTCCTCCCTTCCTCCTCCTCCTCCTCCTCCTCCTCCTCCTCCTCCTCCTCCTCCTCTCTCTCTCCTTCCTCCTCCTCCTCCTCCTCCCCTCCTCCTCCCTCCTCCTCCTCCTCCTCCTCCTCCTCTCCTCCTCCTCCTCCTCCTCCTCCTCCTCCTCCTCCTCACTCCTCCATCCTCCTCCTCCTCTTCTTCCTCCCCTCCTCTTCTCCTCCTCCTCTTCCTCCTCCTCCTCCCATTTCCTCCTCCTCTTCTTCTTCCTCCTCCTCCTCCTCCTCCTCCTCCCCCTTCGCCTCCTCCCCCCCCATGGAGCGATGCCGAGTCGTCGTGGCCGCCGCGCCCGCACTGGGCCCGCCAGCCCCCCCCCCCGCCACTCCTTGGACGCGCGCCCGTCGTTGAAAGTGCGCAGGTCTTCTTGGCGTCCGGGGTCCCAATCTGCGTCCTTGATCCGCCTTCCTCTGCTTCATGTTTTCACCTTGTTTCTTCCGGCTGGCGAGTAGCAGGTCCCGAAAGGTTCCGCTCGTCTTGGAGTAAATGTGCATCAGCGAATAGCGCCGAAATGGCGCCTGATAGCGACCAGCAGCGCACATTCGCGCCATGTTTCGGAGATGCAGTCTGTCCGCTTTGCGCCCGAATGGGCGCGCTACTCGGCGCCACGGGGGCGACCAAGACCTTCCGTGAGTGTCTTCATATTTCCCAACCATCCTGTGGTGTTGGGTCCTCGTTTTGAAGAGACGGTGCCCCGCGTTCTCCCTCCTTCCTTCCTCCCGCTGCCTCCCCGCGGCCGCATGCGTCCCCCACACCCATTTCGCACACCCCTCACACGTTTCGTGGCTCCATCCATAGGGAGCTCCACCGAAGGCCCCGGTGCCCGCGGCCGCATGCGTCCCCCACACCCATTTCGGCACACCCCTCACACGTTTCGTGGCTCCATAGGGAGCTCACACGACTGAACATTCCCAGTGCTACCGCGGCGCAGTGCGTCCCCCACACCATTTCGGCACACCCCTCAGCCCGCTTTCGTGGCTCCATAGGGCCTACGCTCCACGAAGGCCCCAGATGCCCGCTGCCGCATGCGTCCCCCACACCATTTCGGCACACCCCTCGCACGTTTCGTGGCTCCATAGGGATGCGCCACCGCAACCGCATGGCACCCGTCGCCACGGCGCGGGCACCCCCCGCATATGCGTCCCCCCACATGATTCCATTTCGGCACACCCCTCACACGTTTCGTGGCTCAATAGGGAGCTCCACCGAAGGCCCCAGTGCCCGCGCCCGCATGCGTCAGCCACACCCATTTCGGCACACCCCTCACACGTTTCGTGGCCCCATAGGGAGCTCCACCGAAGGCCCCACGGCTGCCGTCCGCATGCGTCCCCCTCCACCTCATATTCGGCACACCCTCAACACGTTTTCGTGGCCCATAGGGAGCTCCCACCGAACGGCCCCAGTGCCCGCGGCCGGCATGCGTCCCCCACACCCACTTTTCGGCACACCCTTCACACGTTTCGTTGTGGGCGGGCATAGGACGCTCCACCGAAGGCCCTAGTGCCCGCGGCAGCATGCGGTCCCCCAACACCCATTTCGGCACACCCCTCACACGCTTCGTGGCTCCAAAAGGAGCTCCACCGAAGGCCCCAGTGCCCGCGCCCGCATGCGTCACCCACACCCATTTCGCACACCCCTCACACGTTTCGTGGCTCCATAGGGAGCTCCACCGAAGGCCCCAGTGCCCGCGCCCGCATGCGTCACCCACACCCATGTCGGCACACCCCTCACACGTTTCGTGGCGCCATAGGGAGCTCCACCGAAGGCCCCAGTGCCCGCAGGGCAGCATGCGTCCCCCACAATACCTCCCGGAACCCTCCTATTTTTTTTCACACGTTTCGTGGCTCCATAGGGATCTCCCCCGAAGGCCCCAGTGCCCGCGCCCGCATGCGTCACCCACACCCATTTCGGCACACCCCTCACACGTTTCGTGGCTCCATAGGGAGCTCCACCGAAGGCCCCAGTGCCCGCGGCCGCATGCGTCCCCCACACCCATTTCGGCACACCCCTCACACGTTTCGTGGCTCCATAGGGAGCTCCACCGAAGGCCCCAGTGCCCGCGCCCGCATGCGTCACCCACACCCATTTCGGCACACCCCTCACACGTTTCGTGGCTCCATAGGGAGCTCCACCGAAGGCCCCAGTGCCCGCGGCCGCATGCGTCACCCCCACCCATTTCGGCACACCCCCCGCATTTCTCGCACGGCAGGGTCATCACCACGGTGGCGTGCCAGGGGCGCACCATGCGCGAAGGCGACGGGGCGGGGGAACGGCGTTCCGGGGGCGGCCAGACCTCCGGGGCGCGAGCAGTCCGCGGCCAGACCATCTCTCGGTCCTGTGGACTCTCGCCCTGGGCCGTCGGCTGCCCGGCGCGCTGCTCCCTCGGTCGACGTCGCCCAGGCGTGATCCTGGATTGCGGCCGCCACGAGGTAGGGAACGGCAAGAAGGAGGACGACGACTGGTGGCTGGAGCTCTACGTGCTGCTCTCGCGCGCCACGCGCCACGAGGACCTCCTGCTCATGCGGGCGCCGCGCATCGAGTTCTTCCTGGCAGGGCCGCCGCAGGGCTTGCGGAAGCAGCTGGAGCAGTTTGCGGCGCGCACGAAG